GCGGGGGGGGCCGGTGCCAACGTTGCCAACGGTGCCAACGGCTCCGCGCAGCTGGCGCTGCGAGCAGAGGGGACCCGGCCGTGCTCGGAGGGACGGGGACGGGTCCTTCAAACGGGGACTCTTCACAAGGAGCCTCGTGGAGATCATGGCCGCTCTGCCCCACTTCACCCAAGAGCAGCACTTAATGCTGGAGGTTTTTCTGGGGCAGCCTGTGGAAGAGGCAGCTCTTCCCAAGGCCTTCCTGGTACCGGGATGCGTCCCTGGTGGATGCGCCCCCTTCTCCCTCCTCCCCGCTGCCCTTGTTGCAGATGGCGAGCGACTGGAAGAGTTCAAAGAAAGAAGCCATTTCTCCTTCAGAAGTTTGAATGAAAATCAAATTCATTTCAAAGCAGATTTAAAACAAACCCCGTCTGACAACAAGCACCCCCCACGGACGGGTCTGCGCCGCTCGCCCTCCCCTTCCACCAGGCAGCCCCGCTCCTCAGGCCTCTCCCTGCAGTCCAGCCAGGACCTGGGCAAACACCCGCCCGTCCTCTGCCTCCCTCGCGCCGGGCTCTCCGTGGATCGGCCGGACGTCCCAGCCTCTTCCAGGGCTACGTTCTCCTCTGTGGTTTGTCCAGCAACAAGTCACCATCGCGCACGTCATCGCGTCTGTAACTCATCAGGCAAAGCGGCTGGCGCAGAACCAAAAGCCACGAGGCGCCGTCGGTAGCTCGGGAGGGTTTTTGAGCAGACGGGTGGTTTACCCCATGCACACCGTGCCCTGCAGGGACCATGGGTCCGGCCAGCTTCTTCAGTCCAGGGCCTCCTCGAACCGCGGCGGTGACACAAGTGACTCGTGCGAGGACACCGGGCCCGGCTGCCGCGGGGCGCAGCAGCCAGGGAGCCGCCAAGGCGCATTCCCAAGCCGCTCGCCTCCGGCAACGTGCAGTTCCAGGCTAGCTAGCAGTGCTTCTAAGAGCACACGACACCTCCATCGTGCACGTGGGTGCATATTCCCACCTCCAAAATGTCGGTGGGGTTTTTTTTTGTAGGTGGTAGAATTGAAATCCGCCCCTCACCCCTTTAGCATCCGTAACATCCCGTGGCGAGGAGCCCTGCAGCCCGGCGGTGCGGGACGCTCTCCTCGCTCCTGCAGAGCTGCTGGGCTCCCCGATGGCCCTTGGCTCGTGTACCGGGCAAGTCCTGCAGCCCTCTGCTCGTCTCCGTGCTGCTGCCCGTGGCTCAGCTCCAGGAACTGAGGCTCAAGCAGCAGAAGGTATTTGCACATTTATCATTTCCCCTTCCCCAACACACTCCTTGGTATTCATCACTCCCCTCTCCCCCCTGGGCTTTCTCCCTGCTACGCTTACAGCTACAGAAAGTAAGTACAGACCCTTTTTAATGGCTTTAAATGGAGACGAGCAGCGTGGAGGCTTTCAGAAGGATGCAGACAGGAAACCAGTCCCACCAGGACACGGTGATATTCAGGGTAGTTGTTTGAAATGGATTTGAAAAGTCTAGGCAAGCAAGGAGGGGTTAAGCGATAGGATGATGCCTCACAAGAGCACATGAGTGTGTTAGAAGTTGCTTCCAAGAACTGGCCTGATTCTCCAAGCCTTGCTTCCTAGTTCACTAGGGAATGGCAGAGCAAGCAGCAGTGACAGAGCAAAGGGTCATATGCAGGATCTAGGAATTAAAGGCTTGAGCAGACTGCACCAGAGAAACATCGTAACTCACTGTAAGGTACCCTAAAGAAGCTGAACTCACCCCAAACTGCAAGACAAGGTGACGTGGTTTTAGTGAAGCAGCTCCAGCAAAGCGCTGCGCAGAGCCAGGACAGGCTCCAGCCTCGGAGCTGCACCCCAAGCCCCCGGCCCCCCAACAGCCCCGCTGTGTCCCCTGCTGCTGCCAGCTCCAGGGACTGTGACACGGGGAGGGCAGCAGCGCCGCTCCGCGCCCGCCTGCCCTTCTCCCAGCACATCCTGGGATGGCAGCAGGGACCGAGCAGAGCCGCCGTCCCCCTGCACAGAGGCTTTAGCACAGCCAGCGCGGAGCTGGAGGAGGAGGAGGGCAGTGCCAGAGCCACGGCATCCCGCAGCACTGCAAGCAGCACGCAGGGCAGCAGGGCTGGATGCCCCGTTGCAGGCTCTGGGGTCACCCTTCTCCAAGCAGCTCCTGCAGACAGCCCTGCAGCCACCAGGCCTTGCATTAACGTTGCCTTCAAGGGGCAGGCCCTGGCTTCCTAAAATAGTGAGCACGCAGGGGACAGGAAGCAAGGTGTTAGTGAAGGAGAGAGTCAGAAACAGGAGTAAACAGGAAGGTTTGTTCTTGTTAAGTTTATTGGCATCATGTTTGTCTCTTTACAGAAGAGCTCAGCCTACGTACTAGAATGTAGACCTCTGGAAAACAGGTAGAAGGGCTCCATTTAAGCAAGCTACAAACGCAAGAACAAATACCAGGAAGAAAGGAGGAGAGGAAAGGGAAAAGATTGCCAAGTTTCTCCATACCAAAAAAATCCAGATTAGCAGTCAGTAAGAAGAAAGGGAAGATTCATAGTCCAGGTCATCCATTGAGAAACAGCTACCACAACCCAGGTGGGAGAGGAGCTCCTTCCACAGCACAGAGCCACTGGAACCCCTCAGGTCTGACTCCTTCTCACATTCGCTCCAGGATGTTAGGAGTTAAAGCAGTGGGGAGGTGAACAAATGAGGTCATTTCATAGCTGTATTTAATATTTTTTTAACCCATTAATCCAGTGTGCATATCACTGCTGTTATGCAAATCTGAATTTAGATACAAGGAAGCTGGACAGATTTCTCCAAATGAAGCCTTTGGGCTTCCAAACAAGAAGGCTTACACAGTTCATCTCTACTGTACAAAATACTGCCTCTATCTGGACTTTGTGTCGCTAGCACACTGCAGTTCACAAGTGTCCTCCTCACTTTCTAGACAATCTGTGTTTCAGTACTTGAACATGTAATTCAGGAATTTTACACTAATTTATACATTTTTAATTGGTTGCATATATTAACATGTACTATAAGATTTTTCCTAAAGAAGCATTACATAATACATGGATACTGTAAAAAGATCTGATTAGTTAAAAGTAACAAGCATTAACAGAGATACATACAAAACTCAACCTAGTTGGACTGAGTGCTGAGCTTGCAATGAACTATAGGTAATCAGCCTTTCCAGTTGCAGCCTTCACAGGGGGAAAACACAAGACAGTTAAAAATGTAATTTGTTACACAGATTACCTGTAAACAGTTTCTCTCCATTGGACACCTGGAATTAGATTCAGTTCCAAACATACATAAGAGTTTCCATTTTAAACTAAGAGAAAGGTCTGTTACCATGAAGTGTGTTGAGGATGGTGCAGGGACATGAGCTCTGAAGTGCTGGACTCACAGATGCCCATGGGAGATGGGTGGATTTTGGCAGCTGGAGATGGAAATTTTTAAATTGTTTTAAACACAGAAGAGGGGCTGTGTGTTTGAAGGCCTAAGTGTGATATTTGTTTGTGAAGGACTGTGCTCAACCCCTCCCTCTCCCCTCAGCAGCTGCAGCTCTCTGCAGAAGCCTTCACTCGGTCATTCTTGTCTAGTTTGATGGGTTCGGGGAATTCATTGTAAAGCTCCACTTCGGTTTCCTAGCAGGAGAGAAGGCAGGAGTTAGTGCTTTTCCCAAAAAGGGATCTGCAGAGGGCTCCTAGTGCACAAGGCCCCGTGCCACGAGGGCCCAGCTCAGCGGCAGGACTGGCACCAGCAGAGGGCACCCGCCGGCCCCGGCACCTACCTGTTTAAGTGCGTTTCGTGCAATCGTCTGGAAAGCTTGTTCCACGTTAATGGCCTCCTTGGCACTGGTTTCAAAGTAGGGGATGTTGTTTTTACTGTAGCACCAGGCTTGCGCCCGTTTTGTGGTGACCTGCGCAAAAAGAGAGCGGCATCACCAGCTGCAGCTGTGCAGCACCACCAGGCCAAGGCCCCGTGTCCAGCTTGGGACACGTCAGGAGCGCTGACACCAGCAAAGCTGTAGCCTCTACAGAGCTGCTCCTCTGCCCAGGAACCATCTCAGCTCTAGAGACATGGCTGGTTGGAGTCGTGCAGGCCTCAGTCTTGATGCAGGAGGCAAAACAGAGGCTCCCCTCCAAGAGGGCCAGCCAGAGGGGCTGCTACCTCCCAGCACGTAACCCAGCCCTGAGCAAGGAGGGCTGTGTCCGAGGGGGACGCGAGCCCGCAGGGCACGGGCTGCTCAGGCACCCGCAGAGCAAGGACTCGCTCCCACGGGAATTGCTCACACTTCTGAAGGAGGAGACTCGCTTCCTTTCCTCGAGTCTGCTCAGAGCTGCTGTAATGCCGGTTGTGCACAGGGGGCTGATCCCCTTTAGGAAGGCCAGAATAGCCTGGAGAGGCTGGTCAGTGCCAAGCAGCAGCTGAGCCACCCTTTGACACCTCCCACTCCCGCTGCTCACAAAACCCTCACGTGCCCCTACAAGGCTTTCCATTCCCATCATTACTTAAGAGCAGGTTACCAAGTCCCAGTACTCACTTGTCTGTTTTCTAGGTCAATCTTGTTTCCCAGCACAACAAAAGGAAAGTTCTCAGGATCCCTTGGGCTGGCCTGGATGAGGAATTCGTCCCTCCAGCTGTCTAGGGTTTTGAATGTGTTGGGGGCTGTAACATCAAACACCAGCACACAGCAGTCTGCTCCCCTGTAGAAGGCAACTCCCAGAGATTGAAATCGTTCTTGTCCTGCTGTATCCCATATCTGCAGGAAAAAGCAGGCAGTTAAAGCAACTCTGCTCCACCACAGTCAGTCCACAGTCACAGCATTCATTTTAAAACTCCTCACCCCAGGCATCTAGAGGACCTAGCCAGGGGAAGCCAGCCCGAGGGACGGAGTCCCTGGCAGCTTACACATTCCTGTAGGCACTAAATAGCCAGAAAAGTCCTTCCAAAGGCAGCACTAACCATTTGTGTTTTCAGTCTCAACAAGGGACGTATCCTTGTTTTGAGCAAGCAGGATTAGGGTCAGAAGGCAACCTGCCTGCAACACTGGAACACCGCAGCGCCAGCACAGCCCACTCAGCTAGCTGCAGCAGGACTCTTTTTTGCCTTACAGTCAGTCTCATCATAGGGAGATTGAAGTTTTAGGTACTCAAGACATGTGCAAGTTGGTAGGTTAATGCTACACTCACAAGAGTCAGAGCAGCATGAATAGTTGACCTAAGGAGTCCCATCTCAGTCACCAAAGAGGGACATGCATCTTTCAGCCAAGATCTAGTGACAGTACCAAACTCTGGCTTTGAAACAGGGCACAGCAAAGCTGCTCTTAGCTGAGAACAGTCAAGTTGAACTTTGCTTTTCCCCAGTTCTGCTCACACACAGATTTGTGGAGAACTCCAGCAACAGCTGTGGCCAAAAGCAGTTTGGTGCAAGCAGGACCTGCAATCAGCACCCCTCTGAAGCAGATACTTCCACATGGCCCGGGTCTGGACAGCCAGACACCTCCTCTCAGCAGAGAGCCAGGTTACTCCTTACCTGCATTGTCACTAGCCTGTCATCCACCATGACCTCTTTTGTCAGGAAGTCTGCGCCTATCGTAGCCTTGTATTGGTTACTGAATTTCTTGTTCACATACTGGTTCATGAGTGATGTCTTTCCCACCCTGCACAGAAAGACAAACAGGACTAAGTACGCTGCTTCTACAAGAGGGTTTGAATTAGCCCCCCTGCACAGAACATCTCACCATTCACCTTCCACCAGAGCCTCTTGACCTTTCAGTCAAGAGAAAGGCGCCCAACGCAAAGAAAGGGCTTTCACTTCAGTAGAAAGGAAGAATTTCTTTCAAAGAATTTCACTTCAATAGCCGCTGAGGCAACAAGATGAACAAGAGCTTTAGCTATGCAAGAGTACAAGGATTAAGGTCTTGAGAAACCCTGTTTCTCCATCAGTAACCTGAGCCTTGGTAAGGCGTGTGCAGCATAGAGTGAAGGCAATCTTGGAAGATAAGTTCCAGGAGGAATCTAGGAGAAAGGGGGGGGTCTTCAGGCTCTGTAGCACAAAGGGAGCTGGAGACACAGCCAACCTCAGGCTGGCAGCAGGCCCATGTCCTCTCCCAGGGGCGCACACCCTCCTCGGGGCGCTGGGCTGAGGGTGCCACATTCTCCAGGCTGAGGAACGCTCTGGGAGCAGCAGCCCGCTGGGCACAGCCATGTAAACAAGCCCCACGTAACCTGACTCCCAGGCCATGTGCGGGGCAGCCCAGAGCAGCAGCCGCTCCTCAGAGCCAGGGGCACAACAGCCTCACTCCGGCAGGGAGGCTCCGGCCACGTCCCACGGAAACCAAACACATGGCTCAGCCTAACCTACATCTCTGACATGCAGAGTCCTAAATGACCCAAGATAGCTTATGGTGGCCCCATCTTTTTCTAATTAAATGCTTATTTCAACACTACCCCCTACCTGCAAAGAGGTTGCCCAGTTCTGCTACCAGAGGTTCATCAGCAGACTGCCCGTTTTGTTTGCCCTGTTTAATAATACGGCAGTATTCAAAGACAAAGTTGAGAGGACACATTCAGGACAGATGGCAGTGAAGTGCCATTAAAGCCGTAAGGCAACTCAGCTCTGAGGCTGCAAAACATCTCCCAACACTGCTGGTTTCTTATGGTGTATGCAGACTGTCACTAGTCAGAGCACTTCTCCGGCCGGCCTGACGCAGACGGGCAGCCCAAAGGCTCCTCCACTTACCCGGAGTCTCCAAGGATGATCACTTTCAGCAACACTTTCTTCCTAGAAGTCATCTTTTAAACTGAAAAGGAAGAACAATACCATCAGATAGCACAAACACACGATGCCTCCCAAAGGCAGAGACACGAGGCCCTTCACAAGGGAGCAATGAGCAGCCGAGCCCGATGTGCCTCGAAACAGACTCTGAATTCCAAGCTGTGTTCAACCACCTTGCTTGTTGGCAGAGCAATATTATCCAGGTAACAACCAAGACAGAGCCAAGCACTCACCCTTCACCCTACAGTACCAAGTCATTTGGGACCTCATTTTCAGTCTCCTTTATAGGCACGCTAGCCTCAGCCATTCCTTTAGCCTCGCTGGAGGCCATGCAATACAGCAGCTCAGCTCCCAATAAGGGCTATTTCTTATACTTGCCACTAAGTGTCATTAGGCAGAGCTGCACGTCAATACTTTCAAACTTGGTCCTTCAGTTGTTTCCTAATGAGCGTCACCCCCACACACACACCTTCCAGAGTCAGCTCAGATGGTCCCAGCCCCTCTAGCAGCTTTGGGGGAACATCGAGCCCCTGGAATACGCTGCAGTTGAAGCAGTTCTTGCTCAACTGTGCAGGCCAGAGGAACTGCTCAGTTCCAAGGCAAACTGCTCCCAGACCCTGCAGGAAGCAGTTCAAGCTAGCCACTGCCACCTCCCTTGGAAGGGGAGGTAAGCCAACAGTGGCAAACTCAGAGCATTTGGCCTGCTGCTCTCACCAAGAGGCTGCTCACCTTATGGCAGGTGCCTCTAAATGACCCATCCCCTTGGCAAGAGGGAGAGTTCAGTTCCAAGAGTCCACGCTGCTGCTCACTCCCAATTCTGCTCCAGCCTTCTCCGAGCACGTGGAAATAGCTGGGGCCTGCTGTAGCTGATGGACTTTAATGTGTTTTATTGCAGCCAGAACAAGCAGGAAGCCCTGCTACCAGTAGCTGAGCACAAGGGCAGCTCAGTGCACCCTCCCTTCCATGAGGCTCTTTCCCGTCCTTCTAGGGATGGGCAGGACCAGCCGCTGCCTCTTACGCCCTGAGGCTGGACTCACAGCATTCCCTGGGTTGCTGCTCACCTGGTGTGCAGCACAGACACTGCAGGCAGCCCACGTGCAAGGCTCCAGCTGACAGCAAACCTAGAGCAGCCCAGGTATTCCCAGAAAAATGCCCGCAACCCCAGCGTTTAGCCCTGCTTCTGTTCTCGCCAAGAGCGGTACTCGCAGATCCACACTGCAGCTTGCCTCGTCTACAGCAGCGGGAACAGCCTGCGAGAGCCCCTCGGCCAGACTGCAGCTCCTGTGTTTTCAGAGCATGTGGCACATGCGACGCTCGTGCTAGCCAAGCCCGAGACTGTGCAGCAGTCAGCCCAGATGGGCCAAGAAGCCAGTGAGCAGAGCTCTGAAGGAACTTCATGGCACTGTAGCCCACATAGCTGTCCTGGGAAACCTCTGTGCAGGCTCAGCCCAAGGTGAGAAGCACCCGTTTTCCTCAACATTTAAGGTAAACAACTCATCCTGACATGCCTGTCCCAGGACCCCACACAGGCAGGTTCTCTTTCACCCGAGTGTTTATAACGTCTCTTGCCAATGGCTGCTGCAGCTTCCTAGGATCCAGAGCAGCCTTTGGACAAGCTGGCACTGGTTCCCATGCTCAGGAGAGGGATTTGCAGAGCTCTCATTGCAGCACTAACTCATGATGGTTGCTCAGCGCCCAAGGTTAACATGGTCTGGAGTCCCAGCATGAAGGGAGGGGGAATTCTATTCCATAAAGTTATTATATGGGAAGTAGCTCCACCTGGAGTCACAGGAAGGAAGTCTGAGTCAGCTCTGACACTACCTTGTCACAGGTTTTGAGCTACCCTGTTGCACAGAGGGCTATTAATGCTTCACAAATGCTGATCAGGTGAGATGCAGTTTCCATCCTGTGGGATGCAGGGAGATGACCACAGCACAGCAGAAGCTAGTTCAGCTCTGAAGTTTTGCTGTGGCCACGAGAGCCTGATGAACTCTAGTTGCTGGGGCCCAGAAGCCACCACAGCCCAGATTTCCTCCCCTATTTTGCTAAGCTGGGTAGAAACAAACTTGCCCTTCAGGGCTATCCATTGCCATTGCTTCTTAGTAGAGGACTCTGGGGAAAGTACAGTGTTGGACTGCTGCTGCCTCAAACATATGCTGGAGCCTTTTTAAGGGGGATTTAGGCTATAGCAGAGCTGGCAGCAGATATTCCGAGAAGGAAGGCTCTCTAGTGCAAGCAGCATCAAGTTGCTCTCCAGAGCACTGCTTTTGCTATTTACAGGGTCCTTATCAAGTTCTGCATGGCTGAACTGCTCTCCAGCTCCCGTTAAAGCAGCTACCTGGGCTAACCAGCACTTTGCCTGGTCATCGTGAGAGCATAGATCTACTCAGATTGGAGATTCCCCCGCTCTTTCCTACCTCACTGTGTCACATCACCGCAGTTCAGGTAAGCTCAGCAATAACCACAAGCAATTCCAGTTACAGCAAACCATTTGCTGTGTCAGCAGAACAAGGTACAAACAACTCCAGGCCAGGTTCAATATTCACAAATTTGCCTGCCTTGAGTCACAGGCAATTCGTGACTATTCATTTGTTAACAGGCTGTTTTGCACATTACGTAGTGTTGAGTAAGCAGGTTCATTGTCATCTTACGTCCCCAAAACGGAATCCCAGACATGCCCCGAGCTGTATGAAGGGAAGCCACTGTAGGTCTCACCATCAGCAAGTCTCACGAGCACAAAATTGACTAAAGGAGACTAAGAAGAACACGGCCTGGGCCCACCACGGAGGCAGGCTGAACACGGCAGGCACCATTACTTAGCAACTGGAGTTCTTCCAATCAACCAGCAAAAAAACACCCCACAAAGCCACCAAGCCAAGCTGAGATGTTAAGTTGTGCAGTGTTTCCCCTGTGCTGTTGCAAAGGGAGCTCGCTCAGCTTAAGAGTTTTAATCACAATTTTGATCTCAACCAGGTCAGTAGTATGCGAGTCTACAACTATTTCGCACTATATATGCAGCTTCTTCTGTTTTACTGTGACTGATTTCTGCAAAGCAGCCTCCTGTGGAAGTCACACAAGCCCTTAAGATGGCAGCGTGCTCACTGGGCAGCCCTCCGAGGGCTCCTATGCAGTCCCAGGAGGGTTTCCAAACAAACACTTCCTCTTTTAGAGGAGTATTGAAGAAAAACCTGTTGGTTAAGATCTGATTCAAGACGTCAGTTCTGTTTCGCACCATGCGAAGCCTCCTGGGGAGAGGTCAGTGCGTGACAGCTCAGAGCACAGCTGACCAGCGCAGCCCTCAGCCCTTCCTGGGAGCTGTCAAAGCCTCCTGCCGAGAGCGCGGCCAGCAGCGCTCCTGCCGCTGCCAAACAACCGCCTGACACAAGAGGGGGGCCCTCGCACTCGTTCTTGATGCCGTTCCCCGAGGAGAGCTACCGAGAGAGCAGCTTCTCCTGACACGAAGCACGGCACGGGCACTCCCACGGTGCTCAGCCCTGTCGGGCTGCCCTTCTAGCCCCTCACAGGGCACCTGCAAGCAGCCCTGGCACAGCCGATCTGAAGGGAAGGGCCAAACGCTGCCCTGCGAAGCTCAGTAGTGTTATGGGTGTTCAGCCACAGAAGCCAAGAAAGCCCATGCCGAGGCCAGCTAGCCTTGTCTTGTTGCCTCAGAGCACAGCACAACTCTGCCCTTTCATATGCTGCATTGAAGCAGCTGGTTTAAGTTAAAGCAAGGGATAGTTAAGGATTCCTTGCAGAGTCGCATGTGTCAAGTGACAGTGCAAGCATTTTAACTTTAATTAGGTTGATGCAAGCAAAGAATAGCAGGAGTTTGCAGTAGTGGCCCACTAATCTTCGAGTTTCGCTATCTTCCAACAGAAGTAGGCCTTGGAAGAGCAACACCCTAGCAAGCCATTCACAGACAGTTTTAATATGAAGACAGCCTTCGGGGTGCAAAGAGAACGTGCCTCTGTGGCAGAGAGCAGCTCCTAATACTGGTTTTCAACTTGCTGATGAGTAGGATGACTTTCCTGTTAGCACAGCTATTGGAACAGTCCTTACTGCTGTAGCTTTGCCATTAAAAGGTTCAAACTATAATCCTAACCAAGAATCAAAGTATCCCTAAGGACAGGCTAGAAAGAGATATTTGACCAAGAGTTCTCCAGTCTGTGCCAGCAGAGCAGCTCCGATCTTATTTGCAGGGGGTCTAGGGCTGCCATCACCTCAAAGTGCTTCCCTTCTGCTCCTGCATCTCCCACCTTGTCATCTGCACCACGCGCCTGCATCCTCCGCCAGGAATGGCCAGCCCTCCGTGCAGGGAGCTGTACAGAGCAGGAGGGGGGCAAGTGTCAGGCAGAGCTCAAATCACTGTGGCACTCACGAACGGCTAACTCCATTCCCCTGTCTCAGCAGGTGGCACAAGAGCGAAGAGGTGCTCTACAAAGTTTAACGTGAAGCACCACAAACCTGTTTCGGGTGCTGTGTCTGGTAAACTCCATTCCCCTGTCTCAGCAGGTGGCCCAAGAGCGAAGAGGTGCTCTACAAAGACAGTTTAATGTGAAGCACCACAAACCTGTTTCGGGTGCTGTATCTGGTAAGCAGAACATTTGCTTCTGCAGGGTCTTCAGAAAACGACCCACGAGAGCAGCTCTATCTACAGCAATATTCCATTAAGGCATCCCATGCACACTGCGGTGGGCTTGCCAGTGAGCAGGCTGGACAGAACCACCACACAAGAGCTTTGTGTAAAACTCCATCCTGAAACCTAGCTAAGTGCATTTCACACAAGCGCTACCTTTGCTCACTGTTATCTCCAGCGTGGGGGAGGCTGCACCGCCTCAAGTCTCTGCACTACACTGAGGAGCTATTTTTATTCCCCCTCCCAGTAGGGCTGCATGTCTTCAAGGAGGCTAACGCTGGAAGAATGATTCAAGACCATCTCAACCAGACTGACCTAATTCTGTCCCAGAAGCTGCAAGTCCCCTAGTGTGTTTGGCATGTCCAGAGGTGATGTCTCCTTAGACCACTAGCCACTAAAACAAGAGGCTCATTGGATG